TCTCTCTCTCTCTCTCTCTCTCTCTCTCTCTCTCTCTCTCTCTCTCTCTCTCTCTCTCTCTCTCTCTCTCTCTCTCTCTCTCTCTCCAGCACAGCACGTCTGAACGCTATAGGGAGCGACCCGCCTGCGGTGTCTGAGAGTTCTGTTTTTGTTTCTCGCGGAATTGAACTCTGCATTCGTTCGCGTTCATTGAACACGTGTGCATTCAAAAACTGAACAGAAAAACCACATTCAATAAATGTGTGGTTTTATATCGGAGGTCTATATGTCAACTGAGCTAGCCCCCTCGGCTGCATCCTCTTTCTGTGGACTGACAAGTTCTGATCAGTCCTGACAAGTCCTGATCTAATTCTATGTTCCAATGGCCGTATTGTGTCTGTGAATGTTTATCGCATCTGAGTGGAAGTTCTAAGTTCAAACGAGCTGTGAAGAGGTTGAGCCATTCCTGAACTCATGTCTGAGCACAATAGAGCTCTGAAGATAGGCCTGCAGTTCCTCCACTCATGAAGCCACATGCACTCGTCTTGGTCAATGGGGATTTGGTGTGAATTGGTACTGCCTGCTGGGACAGGTTTTCAGGGAACTCGCGCAAGTCGATCATGACGTTTCTCCTCTCTCATGCTCTGAAAATGCAACCTCATGCTCAGGTACATTATTCTCTGCTCTTATCTCCCCTCACCTCTACTTCGACAGAGCTAAGGCTTATGCCATTACCTCACAATTAGACCTTAGCTTGAAGAGCATGCTCTGGAGAAGAATAATTGTTTTTTGCTGTGTATGTTCTTTTGCTTGCAATTGCTTACTCTTATCAACTGTCTCTTAGCAACTAAGTTCCTTCTGCTGCATGAGAGTCTGGCGGTCCTTGGGTGAAGTTAAGAGTTGTGCGTGTATTTTGCACCGATTATTCACTTGACTGGCATATTTTTATCCCTTTGTGTGTGTCGAAGTCTTGTGTTTGCTGTGTGGTGACTTCTGAACGAGGTTGGGTATATCATCTCATCTTCCCATTAATTTATCGGTTAGTACAGATACCAAAATTACAGCGGTTCTTGGCACTGCTATTCTTATCGTAGTGGATGTAATACTGTCTGCAAACCATCGTTTGAAATTGGATAGGCGCTATAAACATATTCTGTTCGTCAGGTTCCGTCAGGGTTCAAACTTCATTCTCATGATCTATCGTCTAAAAGTTGAATCTATGTATCTTTCGCCGACTTTCGGGCCTTACGCCCATCTGTGGGTTGGGTGCAAGGGTACCAAACTTGATGACAGGACGAACCACAACTGCGAGGACCCAAGGCCTTTGGCCATGCAGCAAGTGCCCTTAGGTGTTCGGAAAAAGGCCCTGCCCATCCTGAGTGTAGTCGCGCCTGCAATTTTGCACGCCGGCCCGAAGTGAAGGGTGGCGATCACCCCTGGCTGGTTGGCAGCAGCCAACCTCTGTAACTAACTGGTAGGCCCAGCCCACCAGTTAGTTGCAGATGCCAGGGAGCAGTGCCCGGCAGGGAAGAAGGAGCAAAGTGGTCAAGCTGCAAGGTGGGTGACAGCCATGGCTGGGTGCAGGATAGCTAGGTGGTGGAGCATGGAGGGTTGGGGTAGAAGGATGCCAGTGGGGACCAGCGGTGCTTACCCGGACTTATCGAAGAGAGCCTGACAGAGTAGAGTCTTCAAGGAGCATTGCACGATTGACCCTAGGACATAGAGCTGACATATAGATAGGGGTGTATGATAGGAGCTTGGAAGTAGGAGGGGCGGTCAGGCCACCAGTAGGGCTACTACATTGTTTTTGCTTTGATGATTCGAGGTGGGTGAAGGGCTTTCTTTGTCAAGAGACAGTGTTGTATGAGGAGACTTCGGTGTATTGTTCGCTCCTATTTGGTGTCAATTTTGCTTTGGTTATCTGCTTTCAACTCGGCTCAATCATGTGTTGTCTTTTGTGAGTTGTTGCAGTCTGGTTTATTGATGTCCTCATTGCGTCTTTCCGTGCACAATGTTCTATACATGTAACATTAACGACTCGTCATAGAGCAGTGGATTAGAGTCCAGTATGTAGGCGAGGAGCTCTGATGAACATTCGGATGATACGGATGAAGAAAATGATAATTATTCTGTGCGTAGTACTGCGTACGGGGTTCTGAAGAATTGCATTCTGACAGATGTTGGGCCGAAACTGGATCGTTTCCACATTCTTAAGTCCTTACTTGGTTCTGCAGGATGACGTGCTGGGTGACGAATCCAGGCAACCACATCGAGGCTGAAGAATGCTGGGATCATATTTCAATCAACTGAAGTTGTTTTTTGAGAAAAAAAAAGTTATTTCTAGCCAGGTCGGGATGTGTATGGAGCTGATCTGGACCAGAGGCGCCTCAAAGAGAAATGAAAAGTTTGTTCGAGTTTGTGTTTTTGTCAATTGGGTCATGATATGGTTGCATTGCAATGCTGCACAACACTTCTTTTTGAATCGTTTTTGACAAATCTCAATTATGGAAATGTATGTTCTGAAGTGAATCCAGTACAGGCCTTTCTCTGGATGTTCAGATTCAATAACCTTGGGGAGCTCACATTGTCGTTTGGACTGTGTAAGCATCGACACGATACCGATCCTAACCATGATGCATAGGATTGTGCCTCATGGGCTCCTAGGCCTGATGTATACAGGTTTTCAAGAACCTCATTATAGATTTGATACACAGCTGAGGGATAGGACTACCAGTTGAAGATGGGCCATATTCCCCTGAACAGGGGCGCTTCAAAGAGCAATGAAAAAGTTTGTTCGAGGAAAATGTATCTTCTCATTATCGACAGGATACCGATAAATTAATGAGAAAATGAGATGATCTACCATACCTCGTTCAGTGGTCGCCACACAGCAAACGGTCTTAGAGAATCGCTTCCAGTTGTGTTCAGTCAGGACGATGGTGCGCTGTGTTAAGGGGAAGATGGTAGCAAGGGAAGTTGAAGGAGGGGCTTCATGAGGCGTTTCTGCTGATATCGATGTTCATTATTGTTGGGCATTTTGCTGATCTTATGTGTGTTGATTGGAGTTAAGAAATCTGGAGAGAGTTTGCTGAACAGATTGTCTGCTGATTGCATTTTATGAGGGTGTTAAGAACTTAAGAGGCATTTTGCGGAAAGCTGTTGTCTGCCGATTGTTATTTTGTAATCATGTTGAGACACAAGAGTCGGGGGGCGTCTTGCTGAAGTGATCGTCTGTCGGAATGCATGAATGGTGTCCATCCAGGTTGTTTTGTTTACAGCACTGAGGTTTGCAGGGCATAGTTTGGAAAAGGCAACTGCTACAGAAGAGCTTCTCTGGCATCTCCTTGAGAGGAGAAGGGTTCTTCATCTGAAGAAGAAGCAAGCAAGCAGAGCGGAGGCTTTTTTCCCTGTAGAAGCGGAGTTAACTCCCTTATCTGAGATGGAGGTGCAGCTTCTGGAATCTCTTATTAAGGTGAGGTTTCTTAAAGTGGTACTATAATAAAACCAGCGGCAGTATTGACCATCGTGGAATTGATTCAAAGTTGTCCCTTGGTGGTAGAGCACTCCCGGTCAGATGTTGGCTGCAGACCATTCGAAGGGGGATGATATGTGGCGACCTCTGATTCTAGTAAGAATTCACTGATAACTTTCTTTCTTGTTTTCTTAAAGCTGTCTTCTCCTTATATATCGGGGACATATGAATTTTGTAACTATGCTATTTTTCTTCTATCAATATCTTTTTGGGGGACAAGGAGCAACCCTATAT